CTTCAAATAATTATAGATAAAGGGCTACCATAGGCGGAGATTTTTATAAGAATACTTTTTCAAGGGCACCATAGGCGTAGATTTTTTAAAGAATATTTTTGGAGGGCCTATCAAATGTGTGGATTTTTTAATGAATATTTTTTTGAGGGTCTACCAAAGGCTTGATTTTATTTTTTTAAAAATATTTTTTGAGGGTCTACCAAGGCGTGGATTTTTTAAAGAATATTTTTGGAGGGTCTACCAAAGGCGTGGCTTTTTTAAAGAATACTTTTTGAGGGCCTACCAAAGGCTTGGATTTTTTAAAGAATATTTTTTGAGGGCCTATCAAATGTGGGGATTTTTTAATGAATATTTTTTGAGGCTCTACCAAAGGCTTGAATTTTTTCAAAGAATATTTTTTGAGGGTCTACCAAAGGCATGGATTTTTTAAAGAATAATTTTTGAGGGCCTACCAAAGACGTGGATTCTTTAAAGAATACTTTTTGAGGGTCTACCAAAGGCTTGGATTTTTTAAAGAATATTTTTTGAGGGCCTATCAAATGTGGGGATTTTTTAAAGAATACTTTTTGAAGGTCTACCAATGGCGTAGATTTTTATAAGAATTTTTTTACGAGCTACTTTAGTCGTGGATTTTATATGAATATTTTTGAGGGTCTACCAAAGTAGTTGATTTTTAAATACTATTTTTGAGAGTCTGCCAAGGGCGTTGATTTTTATAAGAATATTTTTTACGAGCTACATTACGCTTGAATTTTTTAAGAATATTTTTTCATAAGCTACTTTAGGCGTGGATTTTTATAAGAATATTTTCTTACGAGCTAATTTAGGTGTGGATTTTTATAAGAATATTTCAAGGGCTACTATAGGGGTGGATTTTTATAAGAATATTTTTTAAAAGCTAATTTAGGTCTGGATTTTTATAAGAATATTTTTTTAAAGCTAATTTAGGTGTGGATTTTTATAAGAATATTTTTTAAAATCTAATTTAGGTGTGGATTTTTATAAGAATATTTTTTACGAGCTAATTGGATTTTTTAAGATTATTTTTTTAGGCGTAGGTTTTTATAAGAATATTTTTTAGGAGTAGATTGTTATAAGAATATTTTTTAGGCGTAGATTTTTATAAGAATATTTTTTAGGCGTAGATTTTTATAGGAATATTTTTAGGCGTAGATTTTTATAAGAATATTTTTTTTCACTAGCTACTTTAGGCGTGGGTTTTTATAAGGGTTACCATAGGCCATAGGCTTAGATTCAAAAATATTTTTAAGGGCTACCGTGGATTTTTTAATGTATACTATTAAGGTCTACCATGGCCATGGATTTTATAAAGAATATTTTTTAGGACGATCATGGGCTTGGTTTTTTAAAGATTTTTTAAGGGCTTACATAGGCGTGGATTTTTTAAAGAATAAAGGAATAACAAATAAAGGGCTATCACGGCCGTGGACATTTGGTAGGGATATATGCTACCCAATGAGAACCCAAAATACCAAATTACAGTTTAAAAATATTCTAAAAATGATCGGTTATATACCACAGCGTGGATCGATATATCCAATTTGGAATACCAAACAAAACTCTATCATAAATGTTGATATTTAGATTACATTATTTTCTTATCTACCGAACTCCGATACTAGGCAAAGACTATTTCAGGTAGTATTTTAGGTATAGGAAGTGAAAATATGTTCAGAATATTGAATGTGGGTTTTATGTTAATCTCTGAATTACTATTATTTGAAATGTTGGCAACTCACATTAAAGATATGTGAGCAAAAAAAAAAAAACTGACCACCACAGTCATATGTGTATATGCAAACAATAAAGAGTAACACACTACATTACTTTGTTGTTATTGTTGCCATTAGTGTTTCCTTATATTTTGAACAATAAAAAAAACTCTTGATCGCCGTCACAGTCGTCAGTCAAGTCAGGCAGTTACCATACCACCATATGTTGTTACCAGTATTTCATATTTCATTTGTGGTTTACTTTTCTTTTCCATTGTTTTGTGTTCAGTTTTTTTGGGGGGCTTTTGTTTACTCATTTCTCTCTCCGTCTCTTTTGGTACATATGCACACACATATCTGCGGTATATTGTCGATGTATTAATGATAATGTGAATACCCATAACAGCCGAACGAAAATCGAAATAATAATAAAGAAAACCAAAAAAAACAAAACAAACAACAAGTGGTTATCAAAACAAATACAAAAAATATCGTTATTAAAGAGAGTTACTTTGTTTTTTGCTCTTTTAATCGATGAGCGTTAAAGAGAGATGACAAATAAAAGCTAACAACAATGGTCATTAAATTTTTTTATTATGAAACATTAAAAAATAACAGTTATATACAATTTGCAAAATTTAAATTTTCTTTTTAGAAATTCAAACATTATAAATATTGAAAGTGTTGACCATTTGTGTGGGATGTACCAGTAGGAGTGGACCAATGGGTCCCAAATTCGAACTTTATCTAGGCTTCGAACTTTAAATAGTGCTGCGTGAACGACTGAAGCCAATGGCCAATGACATCATTGGACCATACCAATGCGGCTTCAGACCAGGCAAATCCACCATTGACCAGATTTTCAGTCTGCGCCAAGTCCTGGAAAAGACCCACGAAAACCACATCGACACATACCACCTATTTGTCGACTATAAAACCGCATCCGACAGCCCTATCCGTTCAGAGGTGTTTAAAGCCATGTCTAGGTTCGGCATTCCTGCAAAATTAGTACGGCTATGCAGGATAACTTTATGTGGCACAAGGTCAGCAGTTAAAGTAGGAAAGGACCTATCGCAGCCCTTCAATACCGAACGAGGATTCAGACAAGGTGACAGTTTGTCGTTTGATCTTTTTAACATCCTGCTGGAAAAGGTCATACGAGCCGCAAAGGTGAACAGAAATGGCACTCTGTACACCAAACAACACATGTTACTCGCCTACGCCGATGACATCGATATAATGGGTCGAACATTGCGAACGGTAACAGCCACTTTTGAACAAATTGAAATGGAGTCTGCCAAAGTGGGTCTGGCAGTAAACGGCGAGAAGACCAAGCTGATGGTATCAATGCGCAAGACGTCCAGTAGACTCGCGCCAACTGTGGAACTTGAGAAATACAGTTTCGAGGTAGTTAAAGATTTTATATATCTTGGTACCGCCATAAATAAAAACGAATGACCAGTTTTGAAATTCGGAGAAGGATTATGATGGCCAACAGATGATACTATGGTCTAAAAAAGCAGTTTAGAAACAAGGCCACCTCCCGCCAGACCAAACTCACACTTTACAAGACGCTGATACTACCCGTGCTATTATATGGATTCGAAGCATGGGCACTTGCGCAAGCAGATGAGGCAGCTCTTGGGGTGCTTGAAGGAAAAATTCTCCGAAAGATCTACGGGCCGATCTGCGTCGACGGTGAATATCGGCGTGGAATGAACCACGCGCTTTACGATTTATACGCGGACATCGACATAGTCAGTCGTATTGAGCTGCAGCGACTACGGTGTGCGAATGAATGAGAATGCCCCAGCTCAAAAGGCATATAAAACCGAGCCTACTGATGGTTCCCGTAGAAAGGGAAGGCCACGAATTAGATGGAAAGACCAAGTAGAAAACTACATCTTTTAACGTGGTCTTCCAAATTGGTGGATTTGCGCACAAGACCGACGCGCTTGGAAATCTTTTTTAAGCTCGGCTTATGGAACCATCGTTCTGTAACAAGCCAGTTAAGTAAGTAAGATAATAAATAGGTTGAACTAAGTTTGGTAATTTGGCATTCTGGTTTCTAGGATGCGGGAAAACATCTTTATAAACTTGTTTTTGCAAAATAGTCAGGTTTAATCTCAGTTTGTTGTTTTTATAAAAAACAACTATTTATTAGTGGGGAATGTATGGCATTGTCCGCCGAGGGGTAAGGCAGGGAAGACTATAGTTTCGGATCTCGCCACTGATCCTCATCAGTTCCCTTAGTTTTTTTTTGTTGGGATATTCTCCCCAGAAGCTATTAATAGCTTCTTTACAAAAAACCTTTCAAACCCAAATGTCTCTTGTGACAATTCGAAGTTCTTACGTTACCAGCGATACGACCCCAATGAGAAGTTCGTTTCGTTGGCGCCTGACTTCGTGATCAACAAGGCTTTTACAAACAACTACAATACATTTCCCACTGCTATGTGTCGTCACTTTGTGACGAATGCACATAACGTTGTTGTTGGTATTGCTAGTTAAAGCAATAAACCAAACAGTATGACCGTGCCTCGTCTACAACTTCAGTAGTGTTGGCGGGTTATTTGGGATACCATTTGTATTTTGTTTTTGCAAAATAGTCAGGCTTAATCCCAGTTTGTTGTTTTTATAAAAAAATCACTTTTCAATGTAGGTCCAATTTCGTTACTTTTATCTGCCGCTGCTCTTCTGCTCGTATGTGGCCTGTGGAAAGTTCGTCGTCCATGGAAGACCTATAAATATAGATATGTTGAACTTGAAAAGACTACGAAAGAATGTCATAGAACACCTGATGAAAAACGTATATCCATGAAATAATATAAAAAATTCCTGTCAGTTGATGCTATCCATCAACTCAACTGTTATTTGTTGTGATAACTGCAATTCATGTCCACTGGTTATTAAAATTCAATTGGTCTGGTTAGTCTGATTATTGGCTAACGGCAGGAAACTTGTTGGCAAGAGATTGGTAACAACAACATGTTTACAAAATAATGATTCTGCAACAAAACTAAAGGAGAACATTATTCTTTCTCTATTCAGGAGTAGACGCTTTGCTATTGTGGCATTAAAACACCGTTAACCAAGAATTTACCTAATTACGGAACAAGCAAGTTTCCATTAAATACGTATCAGAATTGGAATATTACTGCTGATTGTTTTTAATAAACAACCAGTGAGGAAAGTAGTAAAGTCGGACTGGGCCGACTATATGATACCCTTCACCACTTTGGGTATATTGTACATACGTGTCCTTACCTTACCTTACGTATGCGTACCATGAGACATATTTGTGGAAAACGATTTAAAACAAAATTGATACACGCTATTCGGTACGCCGCACTGTTAAAAATGTAATTTCAGTCGGACACCCGTTCGAAATACATATGGAATAATACCAATTTCAACAAAACGCGATAATGTCATTCAAGTTGTGCTAAATTTCGTCTTAATCGGACAAACATTAGGAATTTGGTGCACCATTAAGGTAAAATCGGACGAATATATATGTATATGTGGAAGCTATATCGAAATCTGAACCAAAACTTTCCAAACATCATTCTAGATCCAATTCAGTACTCTATACCAAAGTTCGTGCAAATCGAAGGATATATAGGGATTTTGGTGAATGATTTACATAAAATCTGACGAATATATATATATGGAAGCTATATCTAAATCTGAACCGATTTCTCCGAAATTCGCCACACATTAATCTAGACTCAAATCAGTACGCTATGCCAAAATTCGTGCAAATCGAAGGATATACAGGCTCTTTGGTGCACTATTTACATCGAATTGGACAAAAATATATACGGAAGCTATATCTAAATCTGAACATATTTTCACGAAATTTAACACACATCGTTGGGTGGGAGCTATATCTAAATCTGAACCGATTTTCCCGAAATTCGCCTCACATTATTCTAGACTCAAATCAGTACGCTATGCCAAAATTCGTGCAAATCGAAGGATATATAGGGTCTTTGGTGCATTATTTACATCGAATTGGACAAAATATATACGGAAGCTATATCTAAATCTGAACCGATATTCACGAAATTTAACACACATCGTTGGTACGCTATGCACTATTTACCTTAAATCGGACGAAAATATATATGGGAACTATATCTAAATCTGAACCGATTTTCACGAAATTTAACACACATCGTTCTAGACCTTACTTAGTAAGCAAATTGAAGAATATATAGGGACATGGATGCACTATTTACCTTAAATCGGACGAAAATATATATGGGAGCTATATCTAAATCTGAAATTTAACATACATCGTTCTACACTTAATTAAGTACGCCATGCCAAATTTCGTGCAAATCAAAGGATTTTCCCAATTTCAATAGGGTTTAATAGGGACAGACGTACGGACATGCATAAATCGACTCAGAAAGTGATTCTATGCATATTCTCAAAAGGAACCATGTGTCTATCTCGTTTCCTTTTGCCTGTTACAAACATATGCACAAATACATAATACCCTGTACCACAGTGTGGTGAAGGGTATAATAATAGATTATCAGTCATGACAAAGAAAAACGTCTTAAATCGAAAGATATATATTGATTTTGATACACCATTTACACTAAATCGGACGAAAATATATATGTGAGCTATATCTAAATCTTAACTTAAACTTAACACACATCATTTTAGAACAAATTCAGTACATTGTACCAAATTTCGTTCAAATCGAAAGATATATAAGGACTTTGGGTCACCATTTACATTAAATCGGACGAAAATATACATGGGAGCTATATCTAAATCTGGACCGATATTCAGAAAACTCGACACACATCATTCCAGACCTAATTCATTACGCTACGCCAATTTCCGTGCAAATCGAAATATATATGAGGACTTTGGTACACCATTTACATTAAATCGAACGAAAATATATATGGGAGCTACTATATCTAAATCTGAACCGATTTTTCACAATTTCAATAGGGTTCGTCCTTGGCCCAAATAAGTGACCTATGCCAAATTTCATCCAATTCGGATCATAAATGCGATCTGTACTTTTTTTACAATTTAACATGGACAGACGGACATGCGTAAATCGACTCAGAAAGTGATTCTATGCATATTCTCAAAATGAACCATGTGTCTATCTCGTTTCCTTTTGTCTGTTACAAACATATGCACAAAGACATAATACCCTGTACCACAGTGTGGTGAAGGTTCGATTAAAAAACGAGCCGAAATACCGAAATTTGGGTGTTATCTTTATATGGGGTCTATACTAAAAATTTTCTACACAATGAGGACTCAAATAATAGTAATAATAAACTACAGGCAAATTAGTTGAAAATCATGTATAAACTCCCAAAATAGCGAATATTAAGGGTTATACCAATAACGTGGACCTAAAAATACCACTTTCGCCTGCAAACATTCCAGGAGTAGTAGAACTGCATATAGAAAATTTCACGTAGAACTTCAAGAGCTCTATATTGAAAAAAGCGAGTTCTATTGTTACGAACATGGATAAATCGACATAGAATTTTATTCTCATAAAGAATATATATATATATATATATTAATAAATATTTTTAAATTTCAGAAATAAAACCTTAGATGAGAGCTGCTACCAGGGGTGGATTTGTTCCGGTGAAATTTTACAATTGTTTACCTTTAGAAACCAAATTTTTCGTTTCCGATTACCTGTACGAAGATACATTGAATTTTTTGATTTTTTCATTCAACATCACAGGTCGAAATTCAAAAAACATCTCTATAAGTATAGGCGACAATATGAACCTCAATTGTATAGCTTGTTGTTTCACATTTTGAATATAGCAAAATCATGTTTCCTAACAACAACATCCCAACAGTAAAAATTTAATTTTTTTTAATGGTCACCATAACCGCAAACACTAATTACCATCTTCATCTACAGCAACAACAAAAAACAACAGCACAGCATCAGCTGGATGGCATCAAACTTTGCTAAAAACCTCATCAATTTTGGAAGCCATTAAAACTAGATGTATATGGCGGAACAAGTACGTGAAATCGGAATTGAAAACAAAAAACTTTCGCCTTTCGGCGGGCAATAAAAAAAACTGAAATTGAAAAAAAAAATACAAAACACAAAACCGCGCTTAAGTAATGAAATTGTAACTCCCTGATGTCTGTCCCCCCAGTGTAAACAACAATAAACAATTTTCTTATGTGAATAAACAACAGCAACAGTAAAACTAAAGGCCATCACCGATAACTCATAAATGCAGCAAAATAAACAAAATTGGTATTTTTTGGTCAGCACCACCCATTCAAGTTATGGTCATTGATTCGTTAGATGCGCGTGGCGGTAACATTTTTGGTCACTGAGCGTGTGTGTGCGTTTGTGTGTGCGCATGTGACAAATCAGTTCATTCAGAAATCACAAAGAAATGATATCTCACAAAGAAACCTGGCCTAGCTCATCATAAAAATATGACAACAGTGTAAATCTCAAATGTTGGCCAAATGCGGATGCTGGTGGTGGCTGGCTGACTGGATGGCTAACAAGCTTTTCAGTCCAAAGTTATGCTTTGAATGCCAATGAAAATGCCTTCAGCTAGTGTCGTTGCTGTTGGCTTTGTTATGCATTTTTTTTAGAAAATATCATAGATCAATTAGTTTGGAAATTTTTGGTTGAGTTTCATGTTCAGACTGGCAACCATTAAACAACAAGTTGCATGCGATCGGGAAGCTAAATCATTATAATATGTTAAAGGGGAAAGTTATATATATGGGGACATTCAAAATATGCGTGGACATAGGTTGAGAATTTTTGATATCAAATAATTTATTGGTTAGTGGGAGATTAAATTAAAACAAGCAAAAGCGTCGGTCGAACTTAGTATAAACTCAGCCATAAGGTTGGCATTTAAAACAACTAATGTTGATAGGACCTTTATATTGCAGGTACATGTTTGGTAGCAAGATTTGACACCCAATGAACACCTAAAATATCAAATGATGGACAAAAACTTAATTCAAAATTAATATCTTCTGATAAGATAATTTTGCTACCCTATGAGAACCACAAATACTAAAATACAGCCAATTTGAACTAATATTAGGGCTACCCCAATATTAGTAGGGTAGAGTGAAAAATGTGCACAAACTCTCGAAAATATGGGAAGGACTACCCTATGAAGTGGGCAAATTTTGATAAAATTTTGGAAGGAATATTTGATGTCGAATGAGAATAAAAAAAAAAAACAAAATTCTGCATTTTCGGTTGAAAAATTTGTCAAAATCCCCAAAATACCTACCCTGAAATATGGAGCAATTTTTATAATTTTAGTTAGGAAAAAGTATTACCCAATGAGAATCTAAAATCCCTTAAAATACACAAGAATTTTTGAAGATCATCTAAATTTTTTGACGCATTGTTGCTTCTTCATTTTTCAAATTCATCCGAAAAACTGAGGGAAAAATTTGTGTGATACCACTCAACTCCAAGCGGGACAGTTGTCACCTTACCAGCATTTCCGAAGAAACAGCCGTTCATTTTCTTCCAAGTGCTCCTTTCAAAAAAAAAAAATGTTTTGTATATTTCGCTAGTCTACGAAGACCAGGACTCAAACAAAAAATACAGAACTTTGAGCTACTGAATACCTATAGAATCTTCATCTAAGATGTGACGAAGTTACTGTCCCTTTAGAAGTCTTGTAAAAGGCCTTATGTCCGTAGCAAACATCTAATAGGTACATATCCATGTAAATAATAGAAGATCGGTATAACCACCACCTGCAATACCGAACCTAAAGAAAGAAGGTCCTCTATTAATGCCATAGATAGCCATCCATAGAAAACCTGCATAAAGGACTTCCACCATAACAGACAAACAGGATTCCTTTCAGCCAAAGAAGAGCTTCAGAAAGTCTGAACGAAAGAAGACCTGTGAAAAATCCTTCCATCATAACCTTAATCCTAAATCTCTGGATAGAAAACTTCTTCCATCTTAACCTGCTGAAGGTTTTCTGTCCTCAGGAGACGTTTTACAGTTCTTCTGTCTATCGAAGGTCTTCTCTGTATAGAAACCTCTTAGAGGTTTTTTTCTGCAAAGAACCCTTGTAGAAGCTATACTGTCTATAAAAAGTATTCAGTTAATGGAAGACTCGTAGTAGGTCTTCTAAACTCAAGCAATCTGTAAAATATAGTATATTCATAGAAGACCTATAAAATGTCTTCACTCCTTAGATATTCTTAACTTGAAGATCTGTATAAGGTATATCCCTCCATAGCAGACAGGCAGGAAACT